TGTGGGAGAAAGATATGGCAATCTGCTTCTGTAAAGATTACAGCCTTGGAAATCCTATGGGACAGTTCTACTCTGTTCTATAGGGTCACTATGAGTCAGAATCGACTCGAAGGCAATGGGTTTTTTTTTTTTTTTAAAGGGTTCTCCCAGGTGGTACAAGTGGTTTACAACTGGCTGCTAACCAAAAGGTTGGTGGTTCAAACCCACCCAGCAGCTCTATGGAAAAAAGGCCTGGCAATCTGCTTCTGTAAAGATTACAGTCAAGAAAATCCTATGGAGGAGTTCTAATCTGTAACACATGGGGTCATCAAGAGTCAGGGGCCAACCTGACAGCAGCTAACAAAACCAAAGGCTCTTCAGGATTGAGGCCCAGAAAGGTGAGGTGACTTGCCCAAGGTCACACAGTAGCTGAGACACTCATGTATATCCGTCTACTCAAAAGGGTATCACTAGGGATTGTAGGCATAATAATAACGGCAATAACAACAGCTTGAGAGGTTACGGTGTGCCAGGCATTACACTAAGCACTTTATATGTATTAACTCATTCAACCCTATTATGAGCTCCTTTATAAGATGTGGCACAAAGAGGTTAAGCAACAACCATGGTCACATAGCTAAAGACAAGTCTGTGGATCTGGGGAGAATGGGATAGAGTTAGGGGAGAGGGTGGGAGAGAGGAAGGACAAACAGTATCATGGAGGAACCTATTCAGCCACGATGCAAAAAGGGTCTTTATAGCATCCCAGCCAACCTCCTTCCTGTACAGACCAAGACCAGAGAGATTAGGCAACCTGCTCAAAGTCACACAGCAAGTTAGAACCACCTCCTCCTAATATGACCATACAGACTCTCATATGACACCCAACCCATGCCAAACTCCACCCCACTGGGCATCAGGTCTGGTCCCACAATTCTGGTCCAGAGGGCGATGCCACATCTGCCCCAAGGTGGATGAGCAACGTTAGTTTGAGGCACCTCTATTTCTGCACAAAGAGCCCCGGGCCACAGGAGCACAGTACTGCAGTGCTGCAGACTGCCACCAGAGGGCGTCATGGGCAGAACGCCCTGTTTGAGTGAAGACTGCCTACTTCACCGAGCTACTACTATGACGGGGGGCTTTCTCATCAGGACAAGAGGTAGAAATTACACATTCTTAGTAAGGAAAGAGGAGCCTGGTGGCGCAGTGGTTAAAGCAGCATGGCTACTAACCAAAAGATCAGTAGTTTGAATCCACCACTTCCGTAAAGATTAAAAAACCAAAAACCAAACCTATTAGTGACCCTATACAACAGAGTAGAACTGCACAATAAGGTTTCCAAGGAACGGCTGGTGGATCCGAACTGCCAATCTTTGGTTGGCAGCCGAGCTCTTAACCACTGTGCCACCAGGGCTCCTTGCCTTGGAAACCCTATGGGGTAGTTCTACTCTGTCTTACAGGGTTGCTATGAGTCGGAATTGACTCGACTGCAGTGTTTTTTTTGGGGGTGGGTGGGTAAGAAAACAAGCCCAGAGAAGAGTAGTAAGAGGTGACGAGGAGGACCCCAGGAAAGCAGAAACACAGGAACCCATCTGGAGAATTTGTTATTATTATTAATAATGATGACCAATATATATTGTGAGTTTATAATGTGCCAGGCACTGGACTGGGATTCTAGCTCTGACATACAAGCTGTGTGCCCCTGGGCATGTTCCTTAGTGTCCTTGTGCCTCAGTTTTCCCATCTTTAAAATGGTACCAGCCTTGGAGTTGTGAGGGTGGGGTGCATTCCTACGTGTAAAGCCCTTAAAACAGTGCCTGGCCAGTAAGTGCTCTATGAGCGTCAGTCATTACTTGCTTACTCTGTGTTTGTTTACTCATGGACTCACTACAACTGTATGAATTAGGTGCTTTTGTAATCCCCTATTTTACAGCCAGGGAAATGGGGGCACAGAGAGGTCAAGGAGTTTGCCCAAGGTTACACAGTGTGGAATGGTAAAGCCAGAACTGTGCTCTTAACCAATATGCAATCCTTCTCTAATAATAGAGCATGCAAAGCACTGGTCATATGATCAGTGACCCTCACAAATGGATCCTATGCTCTCTCCATTTCCACAGAAAGGACCTGAGAAGCAGAAAGATGCACCATTTGCCCAAGATCACCCAGCTAGAATCTGTGTCAGGGAATCAAATCACTCCTCCCCATTCTATGGTTTGGCCAGAAGCCTGGGTAGACACGATGGCCTGTGGCAGACCCTTCTGGACTGTCAAGTGAGGCTGACCTGGCGAATTTTTATCACTCATTCCACAAATACTTGAGTGCCCACTAACCGCCAGGCACTATGCTGGAAGCTAGGGACAGGAGATGAACAACCCAACCACAGCCCCTTCCCCAGGGGAAAGGAGCAAAGCAGTACAGTGAGTTTCAATCCTGGCACCACCTCTTGAGTAAGTCCCATCACCACTCTGTGCCTCAGTTTCCGTATCTGTAAAATGGAGCTAATAAGCATATTTTTGCGATGATTAAATGAAGTGCTGGGGGTGAAGCACTTAGCACAGTGCCTGGCACATAGTTAAGTGCTCAATAAATATTATTATCAACATCAGTAATTACAATGTGAGAAAATAAACAGTGAGGGCCTGGGAGTGTCCAACATGTCATTTAACTTAGTATGAAACATATTCCCTGAACACCTCGGGGCCTGGCTCCTAGGGTGGGAAGCAGAGGAAACCTCCAGACAAAGGGGGACGGGAGGGGAAGGATGAAGTGCTGAGAGGCTGGGCACGCCGACTTATAAAACTCCCACCACCGCTGCCCAGCTCCATCTGTCCACCAAGCCCCTCCCCCACTGAGTCGCCCACCCCCATAATCCCCACTGGCTTCTGCAGGGGCAGCTGAAGGGACAGAGAGGAAAATAAGGGCACACGCTGGCCTTCAGGGCTGGAGGACAGTCCACGCAGACCTAACCCTGTGACATACTATTGTTGTTAGTTGCCATCGAGTCAACCCCAACTCATGGTGACCCGATGTGTGTAAAGTAGAGCTGTGCTCCATAGGCTATTTATGGCTGTGACTTTTCAGAAGCAGATCACCAGGGCTTTCTTCTGAGGCACCTCAGGGTGGGTTCAAACCACCAACCTTTCAGTTAGTAGCCATGCGCT